TCGTATGGTGTCATTTACATTCGATTTGCACAACGATTACAGGTGACTTACTGACTGATCTATTGAGTTGAATATTTTGATGATAAATTGCTTGCATCTGAGAATATAATCACAGTTTTCACTATGATAAGCACAAGTACTTCGTGAGAATCCCTACAGTGATGAAGCAATCACTCAAGAGTTATCGGTCACTGTGGAAACGGGCATGAAAAATTGGTTGCTTAATTTGTAATGTTACGATTGCTTTCACGTATTCTTTCAGTTCAGAAATCATTAAATCTATCCTAAATCCATTAAGCCTCTATGATGAGGGCATCAAAGAGGATAAATAATAAGTGCCTCTCAATTAATTATGGCTGTTACCAACCGAATATAATATGATGATTGCTCATCGATTGTTGGTTGTTTTCAGGATGGATTCACATCATCAAATTCACCATCTAGATACGAAGAAGAGATTAGCTTGCAGTTCAGGGGGACAAAGTGGACATACACACAACGCTTCGTTGCGTTGATACGAGCTGCTGAAGGTGGAGATATGCTGAGACCTGAACTGTTCGATCGTGCTCTAGAGGTGGGTCAATGCGTAGATCAGTTGAACGATATCGATAAGACTACTGCTGATGATGATGGCAGTTCGCTTTGTATTGGGACTAAGCTCTTAAGCCCTAGTGAATCTCACTCAACTTTTAGATTGTTCAACTTATCCGAATGATTGGAGATAAAATAGGTTGCACCGAAACATGGGTTTAGCGTTGAATTTACAATGTGTAATGTGCACTGTTCAATAAACTGGAATCAACTGCATCAGATATTTCTATGATTTCAGGTGCATAAATATTTGAGTGAATCATTTTCGGTAGTTGTCGATGGCCGAGCATATCATCATAGTGATCTCTGTAAACAGTATTGTGATGTTAATAAAGCACTCTATGTTCTCAAGGTTAATATCATTGCTTTCTTCTCGTTATCTTCTTATTATCGCCGGAAACGTGACTGAAAGCCTATCATCTGCAAGCTTGCATCGAGCGAATTGAGCACGTCATCTGCAACATCTCTGCCTAATCAATGATCTATCCCATTTTAGGATAGTCAACGACAGATAATGGAAGCTGAACAGGCGAATAAACCC